GCCACCTAGCTACCGGCATTTTTCCCTGAGCCTCCTCTCTCCCTTTCCCCCCATTCTCCCTAATTACCGCTTAATAAGCCACTTGTTACTACCCCACCCCCTCCCCTATCGCCCCGGACTAATTTTCTTGTAACGTTGAACGTAATTTACCTAAAATTTACCTTTTACTCTTTACCCCCCTCCCATATAAATGTAATGGCCTGACGAGAATTTATTGAAAGTATACGTATGCTCGCCAATTACTCTTCGGATATCTGAATTTCAAGAAAGAAAACTATTTGGGTAAACGTTCACGCCTCCGCCCTCCAAAAACATCATTTCAAGGCAAGGTATCTAAGTTTATTATCTACTGACTTACCTACAGGACAGGAAGGTCCTTAAAATGTTATTTAAAAGGAAAATTAGTTCACACCGTCTGATATAGAACCAACATTTTCTACGCAATCTGTTGGCCGCGATCAGCCCCCCTAAGCAGATGCGAACTGAGGAACGAAAAAGCAGGTTCCTTTTAGCTTTCGGATGATTTTTAACCCGAGTACGCGAAGAAAAAGACAGCCGAGTAGCGTATCAAACAGCAGCCTGATTTGTTTGATTATATTTGCACAGTTACTCATGATAGCTATTGATAAGGCGGTACCAAGGAGGACAAGGGAGACCTGATCAGTCATTTTTCGCTTATTAGCCATCCTCAGTCAGTCATACTCCATCCCAAGTGAGGATTACCCAAGATTGACAATATATACATGTTGTCCATGAATCACTGGTCGCTTTATGGCTGCCTATGGGCTTTAAGAGCATATTTCGAAATACAAAGTGACGAGTAGGTAGGTGTCCTTGTATACCCGATCGCAAGCAGCAGTCCATGGCTAACTGGTTAGATCGTTGGAATAATAACCGAAATAGTCACGGTTTGAGTTTAAGTTGACCATGATACTGAAGTTGGGTAAGGCTGGCTGAAGACAATACAAGCGAAAATGCGAGTCCAAAAAGTTATTGGAAAGAAGATTCGATGGC